ACGATCACGATCTGGCACTGCTATGCTTCGTTGAATTCCCACTGTTTCTTCACCTTGCTGTCCAACATAATCGCCTCTGATGAATGGTGAGTGCCGATAAGTAGTATTACAGTGCGAGGGGTAGCCGCAACGATTTGAGAGGTCGACTGCCAAGGTTGAACATCCAAAGAAGAACTGTGCATTAAGAATTCCTTACTGCTAACACCACAACCGATACGAATGTTTTCTATCAGCAGTGATCTCATCCACCCTTTCACATGGAAGTGAGATTAGGTCTAATCCAAGGCTCATAAGTGGAACATTCGCCCTCGTACGGCCACAGCGCTCGCATCTGACCACAGATCGCTCAGTTAGCTTTCTAGCCTTCTTTGAAGAGAAGTGCTATGGTGATATCTCGAGACCTATCCCCAACTTATTCCACATAATTAGTTCATAAAATTTTTCGGACCTTTGGAAATTCCCCCATGGGTCACTAATAGGTTCTGGATGCCAGCAGTAGTTGAATAGCCACGCCGGAATCACAATAAAATAAACTCGAAGAATTACCAACAAGATAATTGTGGGAAACCTTTCATGTTTAACACATTCACGCCGATGGCAGCCCATATGGGCTGCCAACTGATAATCGCTTGCCAGGCGCTAGGAATGGACAGATAGGTGGGCAAATCTCGTAATCGAGTGTAAAATGCTTTTAAATTCCTTCACGGGGAAAGTGAATAAATGCTCTCTTTTCGTAACCACTATTCGTCGTTCTGATCGAAATCCTACTGTTATATGTTTAGATAATCTTTACGCATTGGACATTGCTGAAATTATTTTGTGACATTCATGTTTTTGTTCATTTACAAACAAAATCTGCGGTATGTGGTGAGGCGGCGGCGCCCACAAAATCGCGTCCGTCCCACGCGACCGAAAAGTGGAAAAGGGGCGTCGTCGTGAATGTGTTAATGATTACTGGCATGTTTTCACAATAATGAATCCTAGCCAAATACCCACCCCAAAAAATGCAACTTCAAAAAAAACATTGAAAAAAAAACTGAAATGTAACTGCATTGACTGTAGCCACACATCGATGCTTACCTTGACGATGAACTTGCTGCCAAGCGTCCTCGACTCATCTAAATGCATCAAAAGCTGCCGCATCGCTGGATCACATGTTATCAATACGCCTTTTTTAACATTTACCATCTGTAAACATATCAGATAAAACAAAGGAGAAAGCCAAGCATATGCATTAGATCTGTTTCGTATAACTTCGTAGCCACCAGTCTGCTGTATTGGAATGTTTACGCGCACTACCGTGAATCGATAATAAAATAGAATAACCATATAGTCTACATGTGGATGGACTCAAACGACATTGGGCACTTAAATACACAGGGATGATTAATCTTTATTCTTCTTGGCTGATATATCAGAACAGACAAATTGGCTACAACAAAAATCTTAGTTGTGTGACTTTCAATATGGCTACTTCTTTGTTCGTGACCTTAAGTACTCATAGTAAGCTTCCATTTTCTCCCAGCCATTTTTCTGCTTCTCCCGTTCTTTGAATCCCGGTGGGCTTCCCTGTAGGTTGCAATTGATGAAAAATCAATACAAATAGCACCATTTCAATGAACTCACTCCGTTCTAATAGACCAAATGATTAATATTCGTAGCGGATGTGCACCAGTTTCAGGTGAGCATGAGTCGTTGCAGCTTGAGATGGTCACTTGACGTCATGTGAATAAAAGTTTAGTAAGTGTATATATCTATTTTAGTTTCCGATATTTTGTTTTTATTAGGTTGCAAAGGACGCCATGTCACATACCCCAGGTTAAGTTGCTAGGAGTAATGTTATACATGGCCAGGCAAGCACACGAAGATAGAAACACTATCTTAATATAAGGGTTATGGGCCAAAACTATCCCCCGGAACGAGATGAAAAACGGCGTCTCGCCTCCGATCAGAGTGTAGCATCCACCAGAACCGCTTCACCTTAGCTGAGCTTCCCTTGGATACTTACTGTGGCTTATTAGCACTCACACGTAGAGCCTCATGAGCCGGTTAGCCGACATCGGCAGCAATCGCAAGGATAAAGACAGTAGCAGATCGGCAGCACAACTGGCCGGGAGGGGAGAGGTGCAGGTTCGATTCACAGACCAACAAATTAGCATGTGCTCAGCATGCTTGATAACGTCCGCATAGAGAACTGTGGACACAAACAGGAGTTAATAATCAAAAAAAAAACAAGAAAAAAAAGAATGGAAGAGTATAAAGCAGCAAAAAGAGTCCACCGCATCACCTTTACGAAAAGAATTCTCTGCGACCCGAAAACATACGCACTTCACGTCATTTGTACTATCTTTGAAAGGTAATCATGTTTTAGCAAAGCATGCTTATGCATGATAGACTGTAATTATGATTTCAATGCATCCTTACCTTTAATTATTTGACATTGAACTGGAAACGCATCTGCAACAAACATGTCGGATGGGAACTCGATATGAAACTCGTTTACTGCTCTTTCCTTCGCCTCCATCAACACTTCTCTGAGAATCTTGCAACTCTGCACAAATATCAAAAGTTAATGACCAAGTTAGTGAAGTGCATGAACGGCGTGTTGAAGCAACATTGTTACAAATACTCTATGCGGGTAGTCAACATTGACAAAATGCAATCTCTTACCTTCAACTGCTGAAAATCCAGTTGGGTTATAGCTTCATCTACATTCGTCCGCCAAATGAGCTGACATGCTTGCCACATACGCTTTGGAGAGAAATGCACCTGAAAGAATCCAATGTGCCGATCCCAATATCTAGTGACCCACAAGCCAAAAGCTGCACAAACTGAAAGCGCAAACCGATTTGAGGACCGTAGTATTTGGACGTAGCACCTAGTATAGTAGTAGGCTGAGCGAAAATTCCCCGCTTTGGCTAACAGCCTTTTTACATTATGACACCAATTTCGACAATTTAATGTCTTCAAAAAGCCAGAATCCACCGCACATCCTACTTACTATAAAGCGCTTCGTCTGTCGTCTGTCGTTCTGTCTGTATGTCTGTCACGAAATTCCCTAGCTCCTCGGGATCCGCCTGGAGGGACCGGGTCAAGTGTGGGATGGGTGGGCAAGGTCTCACGAAGTACAAAACACACATCAGCTAAGCGGAGCCCCGCCCACAGTGGGCGTGGCGTGCGTCGAAATGAACTGTACTGACGACCAAGATTTCAAATTCAGTGACAAAACGACCTCGAAACTGGGCCAAAAAGTGGGTAAAGGTGTGCATTGGTAAGTCACATCGAATTAGGGAGACCCACCCCGGTGGGCGGGGCGTTCTCCAAAAAAGCAGTGCTTTATGAAAAATTTCATAACTCGGTTGGGAGAAAGCCTACAGAGCAGAAAACAAATTGGTGTAGGGGAGCAATGTCTAAGGTGTTCCCAGCATACATGACGTGGGCGGAGGCCGCCCACAATGGGCGGAGCGCGCTCTGAAGTGTACAGCATTTTCTACAAGTCCTCATAATTCGGGCCGGGGAAGTCTTAAGAGCCGGAAAAAGGTGGATAGAGGTGGTGGAGGAGTGGAGGCCAGCTGTCATCGGTGGGCGGGGCTTGACCAAAGCGACGAAAATTCATAACTCGGCTCCAAGAAGTCCCGGAGGCCGGGAAAAAGGTGGATGGAGGTGGGTGGAGGAGTGGAGGCCAGCTGTCATCGGTGGGCGGGGCTTGACCAAAGTGGGCGGAGTTTGCGACGAAAATTCATAACTCGGCTCCAAGTCCCGGAGGCCGGGAAAAAGGTGGATGGAGGTGGGTGGAGGAGTGGAGGCCAGCTGTCATCGGTGGGCGGGGCTTGACCAAAGTGGGCGGAGTTTGCCGAAAATTCATAACTCGGTTCCAAGAAGTCCTAGAGATAGGGGAAAACGGGGTTAGAGGTTGGCGAGGGAAAGGAGGTCAACTGCTATTAGTGGGCGGAGCACGCACCTAAGTGGGCGGAGTTTGCCAAAAGTGTCGTAATTTGGTTCCAAGAGGTCCCAGAGACCGGTGAAAAAGGGGTAGAGGTCGGCGAAAGGAAGGGGGCCAAATGCTATTGGTGGGCGGGGCACGCACCGAAGTAGGCGGAGTTTGCCACGAGATTTATTGTCCGGAAGCAGTCCGGAGACCGAGAAAAAGAGGATAATGGTTGACGAAGAAAAAGAGGTTGAAAGCCGTCGATGATGGAGCGGATAGAATTTAGCTGAGAATTCAGATATTCGTGGTGTATCAAGCCAAATTTGAAAATTTTCGTCGCACCATCAAAATTCGCCGCAGATCTGTGTTGTGCGCGCAATGAAAGTAACCTACACGATAGCGCTCTATTCTCTTTTTCGTCATTCTCTGGTCTACCAACTCAACCAAACTTTTTCAAGCGAGCAAGGGAGTTTGCTTGAAAAGCGGAAAGGTCGCTTTCCTTGCGAACCACATACACTTTACCACGTTGTGTGGTTCACACATCAAATCGCTAAAAGGACATATATCGCCTCCACATCAACCAATTGTCTATAACTTCTCACAGAGCAATCAAATAGCCAAAACCACGAGAAATAAAACCACCAAAAAATATCAAGTAACTCACCGATTCTCTGCAGTGGAATACTTCCCTAGCTTTTGGCAATCCTGTCTCCGGTACAACATAATGAGGAGGCCAAACAACCTAAATCGATAGCTAACACGCAGAAAAGCAACAGTAACAGCAAGCTTAGAAAGGATTCGTTGAGAGGACTCACCTTGTTGTAATACTCCCAATTTCTCATGGTGTCGGTGCCGACTCATTTTTTATGGATCAGAGGTACCCTCATCCTTATAATCGGTTTCCTGTCGAGCTGCACCCACTTCTGGAGCGTAGTAAACCTGGACATGTTAAGCTCACAAACAAGCTGGAATCAGGTTTTACACAAGACTAACCTTCGATGATAGCACTTCATCTCGCTGCATTACAGGCTTCCGCAGCTGAATTCGGCGATCCCATATCTTCTTGAACAGAAATACTCATTATCCCCATAAATAAATACTCATTGAACATGATAGCTCCTTTACAGAAAAAAAAAATGAAAACGTAATGGAATTACAAATGTAAATCAGAAAAACAAAGATCAAAGATCAAAGCATCCATGGTAACGCATGATAGCATCGTTCAAAATTCACCGATGATCGTCTAGTTCCCTGCTTAAAGGCAAAAGTCTGGCTCAATAAGGGGGATTATGGCGATTGAAACTGAGTATAGAGATGCGAAGTGTAACGGCAGTGGAGAAAAAACCGCGAAAAACCCTCGACAAGGCCGTTAACAAAGCCCTCTTTCTCAAAAGCAATGAAGGAGGCCGGCTTGGGGAAGAGGCACGTACAAGCAAGTTTTCTGAAGATATCAGTCGTTCTATCGGTTGATACGGCTATCAACCTAGCTGATTTCACACGTTATGCCACATCCCGAGGTGGGCGGTCGTAGCGGGGCTAGGCGGCGATAGCGCATAGTACGTGCCCTGAGGCCTTATTACCGCGTCGTTTGAGATTTTGAGCATGGGAACATCTCTATGGGTGCGTAACCAATTACAGGAATGACCGAAAGGGTTGGTTAGGTTCACTAAGCCCGACCTTTGCCTTTAAGCGAGCTGAGCAACATTCTTTACCCTTCTACCCGCATTTTCTCCCAGCTTCCCTCTCAGTACTAGAGGACGAACTAATGATTGAAAACTACTCCCCAGCCTATCCTTTATACTCTCTGTCACCGCTTGATTTGACTTGTCCCTTGATTTCCACTTAGGTGCGGAATCATTCACGTGAATCCCCTTGAAATGTAAATCACTAATTGAAAAGATTCCACGATAAGATTGGAGGTCGAAGAAGGGAAACATATCTAGTCGCGAAACAGATGGCCCCTTAGGAGTACGGGACGCGACTGCTCTGCGTTACTTTGCAGTTCGAGTGCGAAGTGAGCAAGTATCGACCATGAAAGAACGCAAAACCGACGATCAATATATTCGTATCTATCTCACTCTCTGGCCGCTACCATCATGCGTTAGATATTGACGTCAACTAAAGCAAACAGTCGCCAGCAGATAAGTTTTTCCACTTTTAACACTAGGCGTAGAACGTTGCGCTAGCCCCAGCCCGGAAGTATAAGAAGTGTGAATGAACAAAAGCTTACCTTGGAAAGTCGCTGGAAAGGAGCTGAACGGCTTCGAAAGTGGCGTGTTGTTAAAGTCGGCGAAGGAGATTGCAGCCGCCTGAGCAACCACGCCCACTTCGAGCCGTTCAGCTCCCTTTCTAGCAACTTTTCCAAGGTAAGCTTTGTGTGCCTTTAGAATTCTTTCTTCAACAGTCATTAGCTCTCCAACACTTTTATTATTTGTGATTAGCACATTGTTTTAAGGATCCGGTAATGTATACCGCTTTTAAGAAAATAACAAGTGCCAAATAAACCAAGAAAAATGTCTCCCCGAGTTAAAGTGTGGCCCAGCGGCGGACTAAACCGCTGTTTAGTGTTAAAAAGAAATTAAAAAAAAACAGTTTAAAAAAGAGACATTTACATAGGAAGAAAATAACAAATCGAACCTCTTTTGCTTCTGGTGTCACAGATGTGGACGCTGAATCATGCGCTGCTTGGCAAGGATTTTTGAAAAGTAGAATGTACCCAACGACATGACAGGCACCGCATCCCACGGGCAGAGCATGCCTAAATTGAAAAAGAAAAATCATGAAGGGACTGATAAAGTTGACAAAAAAAGAATCATCTATTAGAAAATTCTAAAACAGCTTACAAGGGAAGGATGGTAGGTCGAAGTGGCCGTTAAAATGAAATGTATACCTCCTGATGCGTCTCCAGACGCTGATTCCAAATCTGCCTTCCAAATCTGCTAAACGACTCTCCGAACGGAGTTATGAAGCGTAATAGCTCAGTGGTGATGGTCCGGGGCTGGCAGGTGAAAGCTCGTAAGATCGGTTCCTTTGCGAGTTTGTTGCTTTGCTTTTGTTTGCAACACTTCTAGGGACAAAAGCAAAGCAACAAACTTGCAAAGGAACCGATCCTACGAGCTTTTACCTGCCACCCCGGACCATCACCACTGAGCTATTACGCTTCATAACTCCGTTCGGAGAGTCGTTTAGCAGATTTGGAAGGCAGATTTGGAATCAGCGTCTGGAGACGCATCAGGTGGTATACATCTCATTTCATACGGCCACTTCGACCTACCATCCTTCCCTTGTAAGGGTAAAATTCAAACTAGTGTAAACTAAATCTCATTGGAAGTATCTCGAAACCAGGTTGGTTTCTCTATAGTGTGTTTGCGAAAAAGTTGTCGCAGGTACTCGGAAGGGGGAGTGGCGGGGAGGGGAAAACCAGCACGTAAAACATCGCGTTAGATTGCGGGGACGTTCGATTCTCAGGACCAAAGCATATGGAGGTCGCGGAAGGGGAGGGAGTGTCCGGTGTGGCGGAAGCGAATTTTCGTCCGCGCGCGGAGTTATACGTCGCTGCTGAGCCTAGGGTCTAGAGTTAGAGAAAAGCCTTTGCCACAGAGCACCCTCCCCCTTCCCTCTGAGCCACATTGCGCCCGAACTTCATGTGCTAAAAAAGAGAGAAAAGATGCATCAACGAATGAAAGATCTGCAGAAAAAGAACGGCGGCGCAATGTGGCTCGGGGGGGGGGGCACTCTGAGAAAAGTCATCTAGGACTAAGCCTAAACAGCAGGGACGAACTCCGGAGAATACGAAAATTGCTTCCGTACACCGGAGTTCCTCTCCTCTTCAAAAGCTTAGTCCTAAAACGGAGCGTTTCCGTGATTTTGACGCGATGTTGCGAGGTGCCCCCCGAGCCACATTGCGCCGAAAATCACTGTTGGAAACTTGTAAGCATTTACAACACGATTTCAATAATGTGAAAACAATATGAGACCCGAACCGTTACAAAAGACAAAATGAAGAAGCAATGAGCAGCACGGGAGCATAGAAAAATACGCGCCAACAAACGCGCTGCTAGGAACTTTCCCAGGTCTTAAAGCCCTAATTAAATAATATCGGCCAATCGCATAGAGGCCGGACGCATAGTCGGTCGGACGACAGCAACGACTGCTGCTGTCGGACGACAGCAACGACTGCAGGTGTCGCATAAACCGCGGTCGCAAATGGAAGGCGACGCGGTCACCCAATGCAAACCCAGACAACACGTGACTGCGCGTGATCGTATTTCGAAAGTCCCACTGTAGTGTGGAATAGTAGCTGCGTATTGATCTTGCAGTCGTTGCTGTCGTCCGACAGCAGCAGTCGGACGACAGCAACGACTGCAAGTGCCGCAGATCGATACGCACCCAATACTGTGCGACACTTGCAGTCGTTGCTGTCGTCCGACCGACTATGCGTCCGGCCAGAGACGGTTATTCCGAACAACGACATCCTGGATAAACTCCTTAGGGTCAGCTGCTTGATTATTGTTATAATTTCGGGGATTGGTCGATTGGACACAGTAGGGGCCGTATGCTATGCTTCCTCGAAGCTAAGGTGACTAAAGTTTCCTTTAAATTTATTTGCTTTGAATGATGTCGCTTCTTCATTTTTCAATACCATTTTTACTTGATAAGCCTACCACCACGTGAATACAGATACGCAGACAGTAAAACGAAAACGATGACTAAGACACACAGGAAAGAACGAAAAGAGATTAAAAACACAAAAAAAAAGAAGAATACACGCAAGATTAGACGAAAAACACACATTCATTTAATGTAGGCCTTTTATCAGGGTAGTCCCAGTCGGCAAGACAGAGAAAATTTGAAGGAATTTTCGTCCACTAACCCCTTCGGGGAGCATAGCATACTAGCCGGTGAGGTTGTGCCGCTAACACGGTGAGTCGTGGCGTGCCGTGTGGGCAAAGTTTGTGGTTCCTCAATAAATGGTTTATGTTAACCTGGCCATATACAAATCAGTTGTGTGAGGGGCGCCAATGTGGCTCGGAGGGGTAGCAAGCCGCGCGCCAGCGTTGTGCAAGAGCAACAGGATACTTAATCGTGATCAGGAAGGAATGTAGCCATATTCAGGGGGGGGGGGGGGGGTGAGGGCAGTCACACATAAGTCATGAGTGGAAAAGCATGGAATTTTCGAAGTTGACGACTATATTCGACTGAGCCGCGCGCCGGCAAGACACTAGCCCCCCCCCCCACCCCCCGACCAGGGTCGGTCCTATCGTTGTTACTTTTTGAAAAATTTTTACGACCCCCCTCCCCCAAGGTGGACTTGGTATGACCCCCTCTTTTCCACACCTCGACCACCATATTCCTCTCTATAGTATTTAATTCTGGTACCACTCAACCCACGAAACTCCGCCGCACTTTTTCCTTCCAAAATTGCCGTCGAGCGGGAGAAGGGGTTAATCCGTTAAAGTCTTACGAAAGAATTTAAGACCTCGCAGTATAAATTTTGTGAGCATATAAAGGTTGGCTCAATCTTTGACTCCTGGTAAAATTAATAATAACTGCCAGGTTATCACGGAGTAATGTTCTCGTTAAGATTCGAATTAGATTAGTCCTGAGGGTGTTCCCACAGGCCAATTGGCCGCCAAGTGAAGGCATGTTAGATCACCGGAGGCATATTCTATCATCGCCTGCGCATCGATGGCGATGATTCCCTCACGACCCACGTCTGACGGGGCGTGCCCATACTGTATAATTAAGGAACTGGTGTGCCTTTAGTTAGTTCGTAACACTTCCACCGCCCTCGTCTGTCATCAATCAACCTTTCACCTTGCGCCCATTTGCCGGTGGCAAG